CAGCGCACGGGTCCTTCTTCCTCCGTACCCTGCGGCTGCTCCGTGCTGGGACGCAGCCCGGGGCCGGGCGGCCGGTGCCCCCGCTCCGGGGGGCCCCTGTGCCACAGTGCGGGGAGAAGTGGGTTCACTGGTCGTACCCTTATGTAACGGTGCAGCTACACAGGGGAGTTGTTGGATGCAGTCAGTCAGTTCTGTCAGTCTGTCTGTCTGTCTGTCTGTCAGGTGTTGTGTTGAGGAGCCCTGGGTTCCATCGTAGCCGTGGCCTTTAGGCAGAAACTTCGGTGTCCGAATGAAATCGAGCCATATGTTTGAAAGATGCTCTCAGTGCCCGGGCTGGGCTTGTGTTTAGGTGGTGCCTGTTTGCCCACATGAGAGAGGAGGATGAGAGTGCAGCCTTCTGTCTGGAAACTGCCTCCAGAGCTTCGGAAGGACAAGCGGGGAGTTTGCTGTTCAGCAGTGGTACGACCAGAACTGTAGTGGTAGCTGTTCTCACGGATTCCAGCTGGGTCAAAGATATGACAGGGACTTCATATGGAACTATGAGGAAGCTTGTCCTCTGTATCTGATCATTATTTTTCTTATTTTTTCTAAATTTTTGCTTCATATGGCATACTGTATTGTGACTATCCAAGGCAGTGACTAGTCTAGTCTAACGTGGATAGTTTTTATTGCCGTTTTCTTAGAAGTTCAGGTTTTCTCAGATTTAGAAGTCCCTTAATTTAGTATCTCTTTTAGCATAACTAAATGCTAATTGAATCTGGATTCTTAAAGAAGCCATTAACGAGCTGGCATGTTTTTCTTGAGATGCTTGGCGGAGAGTTCAGTTGTTTCTGCTTCATAAAATCGTTAACATATTGTATTCAGAGTTTAAATACCTAGAGTTTGACTTGCACAGGGAAAAGATAAGCCAGTTCTTGGAGTCGTGGTACCTGTAGCTTTTCTCGCATTCTGCAGCTATGGCAAAGTAAAACATTAAAGATTGAAACAAGGTGTCCCAGGTGGTTTTCTAATTGCTGAAGCAATTAAGTGCAACAGCCTGATAATACTAATAAGGTTGTTGATATGAATATACTGCTTGTTATTATATGCATCTATTCAGGTTTTTTCTTAATGTTGAAGTGCTGAGTACATCTCTCTCTACAGATTTCATAAGGAGAAATTGACACAGGTTGGATGTTGACTTGGAGAAGATAATTTAGAAGTTTAACATCTCTCCAGTACAGCTCTTACATTTGCACAATAACTAAACTAGGTTTGACAACACACGGAGATACTTTGATAAGCATATTGCAAATATGGGAGAAATAGCACCTATTCAGTGCCAGACAACTTCTTGAACACAAATTATAGTAGGGTAATGCTTTTAGCATTTATCATGGAGTTGAAATTAATTAACAGATTAAAAGAAAGCTTGATAGTTGGCCATTGTACTAAAGGTTGTGATAACTTAGAGTACAGTTTGGCTCTGTATTTGTGGACTGAGTTAACTAGTATAGCTCAATTAAAAAGAGACAAAGTACCAACTGTGTCAATAACAAAGTAGCAATTTGAACTCTATGATACACTGTTCTTATTTTGATGTCTCAGTTTGAAAAATAACTCACTGGAAGAACCAGATGTCCACAAAAATGAAACATTTTTGTGTATGTTCTTAAAGTGGTTTGTCATTACACAAGTGAGAGCACTGAAAACTGCACCTGAACTAGTAAAAAAAGTAAACTTCTAAGTGGGGTACTTGAAGCCCATATTGCTGTTGTATTAGTGTGCTGCGAACAGTGTTGGTGTTTCATGTGTGCTGTCAAACCTTTTTATAAATTGTGGTTTTGTATAGATATAGCATAGTTTAATTTTAGAGCGTGTCTCGCAAGGAAACATTGGTTTTGCTATTTTATGTATACAAGGATCTAACTGTTCCAGTTTTGAAGGAGTTGTAAGAAGGAAACAGAATTTTGCTGCCTTGCTCTTGCTCCTAAAAATTAATTTTTCTCATAATAATTTCTCAGGCCAATTCTAGTTTTTGGGGAGGTTTATTTCTGCAACTTCATAATGTTCTAAGTAAACAATACTCCATTTCTAAAGATGTTCTTAGAAGAAAAATTTTATCAGGGACATCTGGCAAAGGTGAGACCTCCATTAAGTTTGCCATCTTAGTTCAATAAAAATACTTGCAGCTTTTTGTTTTTCCGTGGGGATTTGACACTAAGTGTAACTCCTGCATGTTTATTTGGAACATTTCCCCCTAAAAAAGCATTTTCAGTTTTTCAGAGATGGTAAAAATATTTTTGTAAGCAGTGGATAGCTTCATGAGGTGGTCATCAAAATAGTTTCCTGCTCTTCTGAGTACAAAGAAAATTCCTCAGGTCTTCCCTGCTTTCAGCTTAACAAATTATTGCTCTTCACATAAGTTTTTTTCTGTTTATACAGTATAATAATATTTAAGAAAAATGTTCAGAGTTATCTTTTTGCCTTTTCTGTATTATAATGAATCTACCACTGTTTCTGGTATGGTATTATCTGCAAAGACTGCAAAATATATATATTCCTGTGTGTAAGCAAATCTGAAAATTTTAATGAAATTGTTATAGTTTAAAATGTGTGGGGCTTTTATTTCTGGATCAATAATAACAGGTTTTGTCTTCTGACTTTGAAGTTGGCAGTCATGCGGGCTGTAAGCTTTCTTGGCTTTGTAAGAAAACTGTAATTGCACATAGTATCTTTCAAAGCTGTTTGCCCAGATTTGAAGTTAGATATCATTAGGAGAGCAAGCATAACAGCATGGAAGACTGGGTAAAGTAACTTCCCTTAAATAAGTTTTTCTTCATTGCCATATCTACTCTGCAGAATCGTGACAGCCTATTAAGTGCCTCAGAAAAATAGGATCTATGTAAGGTGAATTGCCTACTTAAATGTTTTACTGTGATACCCTCACCTCTGTTCTTACAGAAGGTTGAGGGGAAACTTCATTTTCCGGGTCTTTGTGCTTCATAAAAGAGCAGAAGCCTACAATTAGGTTTCTAGTGATTTTTTTTTGCAGCAAGCTTGGTTATGTAAAGGTATCTGTTCTGTAAAGTAGTGGAGTGATTTATCATACATAAGAGATTAGATTATTTTATAATCTTATCTGTGTGAAATCTGTGGAGAGAAAAAAAAAAGCTGCAAAATATTTTTTTTTCTCCTTTTTCACACAACCTTTTTAATAATCGTCAGTTCTTCTAAGTCCATGCAAGATACAAGGTGGGTGGGCTTTCCTATTTTGTATGCTTTCTAGACCATTATGTATGTCAGTGAATTTCCTGTCTGGCTGAAAAATAGTAGTAGTTAACGTCAGAGTTTTGTTCCATTTTCTTAGATATGGTGTAAAGCCTTCACACTTAAATTGAAAGGCCTTTCAAACATGTTTTTAGTTGTTTAAGAAGCTATGCTTAAGAGCAGTTAGTTTAGGTTTAATTTATTCTACAAATATTCACAGAATCATACTTTTCTGTGTTTCTACCTTTCCTGAGACCCTGACAGTGATCTTAGTGAAAAGTGTTCCCAAAGCTTACTCGACCCAAGTTAGCTGAGTCTGTCCTTCCTGCCTTCCACTCCTGTGCTGGTAGTAGTGCTTCTGCACTCGTGCACACTTCTTTTCATAGAGGTGGTCTTAAGCTAATGCAGTGCCTAGAACCAGCTGGCTGTCCTGGCACAAGATGAGGGATGGGGTCTGGAAAGTTCAGACTTAGTTTCACAATAGATTTACAGCCTTACAATATAGGTTCCTGCACCTGGTTTTCCTAGTACTTATTTGTAGAATTTAACTGTGTAACAAACTTATTGGGTGCAAAAGTACCTATTCTCGGTTCTCCTATGCTTCTAAAGAAACTAGCTGGACTGTTCTTACAGTTGGAGAAAAATTATTTAAAAATCAGATGACAATGCATGGTGGTTGGGTTTTGGCGGTTTAGGCGATTCAACTAATGAGTGTTTGGTAGGAGAATACTTGGTATGCAATTTTGATGTGCTAAGGTGCCATTTGTTCATGGTTTGAAAAATTTTGCTGCTCCTTCTGCAGAAAGTTCTATATAATGAATCTGTCAACAGATTTCAGGGCTGAAAGTGTTAATCTGGTTAGCACTGATTCAGCATTTTATTTGGAGATGGACTTAACAGACCTGAGCACATTTTATAATTCTGAGTGTGTAAGGTATGTTTTATTTTAATGATGAGAAATAAATTCGTGTAACTGCATTTCACTAGCATCTCCTTTGACTATCATATTTTTCTGTGTAGAGACTTTTTCTGTAGTTACTATTACATTTCTTAATTAAAAATAACTTTTATGTCTTTTTTAATAGCTTACAGGAGTTCTAGATGATTGTTTATGCGACATAGAAAGCATTGATGACTTCAATACTTTCAAGATCTTCCCCAAAATACAGAAACTGCAAGAACGTGATTACTTCAGATATTACAAGGTACAGTACTTTCCTGAATAAGTGAGATCCAGAAAATATAGGGAAGTTTGCATATCAAATTTTTCTTCATTAAGTTGTTATTCAGAAGCTGACAACTCTTTAATTTGTAGCAGGTTTTCAACCCCTGACAGTTATGTTTGCAATACGTCATGTTTGCTGTGTTAATCCTGTCAGTGACAGTAAATCATGACTGCTTTCATTCAGCTGATAAGTGGTAATTTTACAGGTAGTGTCTTTGTTCTGCTGCATGTAGAAAAGGATTATATAGTAGCAACTTTCTGACAGTATGTAGTACTTGTCTTCTAAGAAACATGTGTAATTTGAAATGGAAATATCGCAATGACTTCCTTTTCTTACAAGTTGCTGTCGTAGTTCTGATTTTAGTATTTCCTGTCTATAGTGAACCATCATTCCTTTGAAAAAATGGTAAACTAATTCAATTTTCAAGTAGTGTGTAATATAACTGTTTTTGTAAACTTATTTTTTCTCTCTGTTAGAATCTGATGAGCTAAATAAGACTGCAAAGCCTGATACTTGTGTTTTCAGATATGCTTAACTTGAAAATGAGGCTGCATTTTGACTGAGCTAATCATATGGTTGCCTGCCACCGGAAGAACTGTACTCATTTAGGGCAGACGGTCCATCTTCTTCCTTACTTTATCTCTTGGGATTGTCTGGTTGAGCATTAGGCCAATGCATCTCTTTAATCTGGCAGATTTTTAGTTTCAATGTTTGGGCTTGATTGTTGGTGTTTGGTGTGTTTGGGTTTTTTTTGTGTTGGGTGTTTTTGTTGTTGTTTTGGTGGTGTGTTTTGTTTGTATTCCCAGATGAAGCAAGTTATCTAGCTGATCTGAACTTAGACAAGTATTAAACCTCATGCAAGGTGGGGTTATGAATGTGAGGAAGGAGAAAAAAGCACTAGAATCTTCCCTTTCTAGTCTGAGCAAGCAGTAATGTGTAACTTCGCCTTGAATCTCCTCCTGCTACATGATACAGTTCTAACTTCACTTTTCAGGAGAAACAAGATACATGCAACTTCAGTGATAATACATGATGTAGTAGTGGTAATTAGATTCTCCAGAAGCAGCAGTAAGATACAAAACAAAGTATTTGAAGAAGAGGAGCAACAGGTATAAAAGGTTTTATACAGCAGGAAGTTAATCCTGCAAATTTAGAGCTAAACCTTATTTCAACAGCAATTCTGCTGGTTTTTTTTAAGTCTTGCTAAAATTGTACAGGGTGGTTTTTATCTAGTGGATCACTTCTCAATGAAAGATATTAAAGGATAAAAGATTTTTGTCTCTAGAGTTTTATACATCAAGACACAAAATGTGGAAGCCTCATGATACAAAATCTAACTTTTATTCTATGACAGATACTGAATAATACTCTGATTATAACAAAATATAATACTTCAGACCCTGGAAAAAATAGAAGGATGTTCTGTGTAGTTGGTGCATGATTGGTATTGATTGAAGTTTAAGTGCTACACAACCTTAGTTTGTCTCAGAAGTGTGTGTAAAAACTGTTTTTAGTGCTTTTTTAATAATTCTGGGGCTAGTGTGTCTTAATTTGCAGGTGTTCTTTCTGATTAAGCTTCACTTAATATGCCAGTTTTATTTACAGTGTTCCTCTGTGTCAGAACAGTGACTACCTTATTACTTACATCTTCCTAAGTGTGTTACCATTTGTTAAAATTTATTTTTAAAAAGACTGAAGTCTAATCATGTTAGCTTGTCTTTTTAAATTTTTTTTTGGTAGAAATTTGTGGAAGGGGCATGTTTTATATTACAGATCTTATTCTGAAGATTATGTAAAATGTGCTTTATTTAAAATGATGAGGAGTAAACAAGTACAAAAAACCCTAAAGTTTTACATATTTATTTTTCTAGGGATGGTGTTTGTGGGTTGAATAGAGGAGATAGGTGGTGGGAAATCAACAAAAATCTCTGCTTTTAATGTGTCTGTGCTAGCATGGCTTGAGTTGTAACTAGAAGATCGTTGTCATCACTCCTAAGAAGCTGCACCATCTGCTTAATGTCCTTTTAGGTTTTTAATGTTTTAAAGCTGAATTTATACTTCCCAGTCACACTGAACATCAAAATGGAAACTTGGAAATAGTCTTTCTTTCAGGTGTTATGTAGCAGTTAACTTTGTGTGCATATTTTGAAAATACAGACAAAACTTACTTGCTGGAAGGTTCGGTAAAGGAATTCAGTACAATAAAGGGCAGTTGAGCAAATGAAGCATTAAGTTTTGCTCTTTAGGGATCTTTTATGGTATTGATAGGACAGTTGAAGAGGGAATTTTTTTTGTTTGTTTGTTTGGGGTTTTTTTGCTATAATTTGGGTATGCAGTGCCACAGAACAATTTATCCTTCAAGCATTAAAGGTTGTTTATCTATTTCTGGTGCATAGAACCAGAACATTTTTCTTAGCTGTCAATATTAAGAGAATAGACTGGAGGGATAGTAAAATCTGCCTATAATTAATCTCAGAGTCTTCATGTTGTGCCTGATTTGCATCAGAGGCATATTGATCTAGTTTTCCTTATTCTTAGTATGATATGTATGATGTTGGGGGAAAAATAATAATAATTTTTTTTTTAATAGAAGAGGGTCTGGTTTGACAATTCTGTGGATGTAGTCCATGGGCTTCCATTACTGTGTCCCTCCCAAAAAAAAAGGCCACTTAATGCAAATCAGTGTTTCAGTGTGAATTTACTCTGCCAGTTAAATGTGTTCAAAGCATAAAGGTTTGGGGTTTTTTAAATGCAATGATTATTCAGAATGGCTCAGTGATTTAATTTTTTCTCCAAATTAAAAGATTCAGTAGTCTGTATCTTTTATCATAGCAGGAACCCTTCAGGTACTACATGAAGTGGATTCCAAGTTCATCAGTGCATGGGATTTAGAGTTCAGTTGCAAATGCTTTGCCTAAAGTGCTACTCTGGCACTATTTTACTAGTTACTTAAGATTTGTTTCCTGTCTGTGTTTCTCCTTATGTGAAGTGAAAGTAAAGGCTATAAATAACATAAATTAGAAAAGTGTTCCTATATGTAAGGGGAAAACATGTTTTTCTGAAGACTAAATTAATTTAAGTGTTTAGTCTCAATCTTTTATATATAGCAAGAATAGTGTTCTTTGTAGTGTGCAACTATGAATTTACTGTATGGGTTTTATTTTTTCCATATGATAGCATAAGGATTAGTTTTCTGACTTGAGATTTATAGATTAGTAAAGAGTTTTTATCTCTTGCCACCTAGTAGATACTAATATATGAGGTACGCTCTGTCTTTGTTGTGCTATTTGACGAAATACAGCAGTACTAATCATCACAAGATTTGTTGGTAATGTTTTTGAAGTGGTTTATTTTCCATTATTTATTTGTACTATACCAGCTCTCTATTTTGAGGCCATTGTGATACTTATTTTTTCCTTGAATAGCTATGATGTGCAGTATGTTTATCTGTTTTTATTGCTTGAAATCTGAAGTCATCCGAACACTTATTTGAATTGGTAAACTTGTGCAGTAGTCTGTCCTCCATCAAATGTATTTTCTTGATCAGTATAGTACAACTATTTTAGAACTACATATGTCTGGTATGCCTTCTTTTTTTGTAGTTTATTTACTGCTTTGAAGTTATGTTAGTGGTGAGAGATTTAGTTTGGGCTTTAATATACTATGTGTTTGTGTCCACTGGAGACCATTATGACTAATAATTGCACTGCAGCGAACTTCAGCTTATATACTCAGAGGGAGAGTAGTTAAAAAAACACAATCAGCCAACTAAAGCCTCACAAAACTGTCCAAACTTTAAGTACTAAATTTAACCCTTTTTCCTTGTATCCTGTCCTTCAATTTGAAAGGATTTCCTGATACTGAGCACTCCTTCTTTTAGAGTTGTCTTAAGTAAGTGTTGATTGTAAACTTCTGTTTTTGTATATTTAGGTCAACCTGAAAAGACCATGCCCATTTTGGGCTGATGATGGCCATTGTTCTATCAAAGATTGTCATGTAGAGCCTTGTCCTGAGGTATGGATCAAATAATATAAAATAGAAAAAGGTTATTTGGTTAAAAAGTTTGCTAATTACTAATACTATACTAACAATATTTACTAATGAGAAATATAAGTGAAACACTGACAATAAAATAATTTTCCATTTCAAAAGCAGAAATACAACCCAAGTATTTTAAGGTCTTAGTCATTTTACCAATAAAACAAATAGCTATAAGAATAAGTCACTTCTAAGGTGTAGCACTGTTTTGGATATAAAATGTTGATAAGGTAAAGGAGCAAGGTAATTATTTTAAAACTAGTTTACTTTGACCTCTGTAGGAATGATATTTAATTTTTAGATTTTATTCAAGCATAATAAATTGTATGAACAGTGTAAAACTGTTTTTCTTCTTTGTTTTAGAGCAAAATACCTGTTGGAATTAAAGCTGGGAGCTCTAATAAAGTAAGTAGTAATTAATTTTTAAGTTTTTTGGGGTTTTTTTGTTTTGTTTTTTTTAATCATAACTTTATAGTAGCTGTGTCACTTTTTATTACAAACCCCTCAGTCTTGGCATAGTGATGAAATTGTTAACACGACTGATCAGTTCCTGAATGCAGCTTTACATTTTTACTTTTATGTGTGATTGTGTTTCTGACATACCTACTACTCCAAGTCTGTCATAGCTTGAGAGCTGGTCCAGACTAAATCAGTGAATGACCAGGGACAGCACTACATGGCCAAGAATGCCTGATGCAAAATTCTTTGCTCATTTCTGAGTCACCTTCTGTAAAGCCATAGGCTAAGATGCACAAATACAGTGACAGTGCAGTCTTTTGGAAGAATCATACATAAACACAACCTCCAATGTTACAAGAACTTGAACAATTACATGTAGTTTTGCCATGTCTAGTCTTGAGCGGGTCATTTATCTAAACAAGATTTGGTTGTTAGTCTAAAGACAATTTAGACTGAAGTGATCGCTGCAAGCTTAAGTAGTCAGTCTGTGCTGTTGCTTTTGCTTGCTTCTCTCCAAGCCATCCTTCCCAGATCACCAGGTTGGAAAAGACCTCTAAGATCATCAAGTCCAACTGTCAACCCAACACGACCATGCCAACTAAGCCATGTCCTGAAGTGCTGCTGTGTATTTGCTGCAGTTGTTTCCTTTGAATTGCCTTGCAGTCTGTGGCAACCAGCTACAGTACTGAAATTGAGCAATTCCACACCTTTAATCTGTAGTAGAGCAAAGACAGTAATATGTACTGCTTTTTGGTCAGAAGACAAAATACTCTGTAGGAAAATGATTCAGTTAAAGATCTGTCTTGCAGCAAATTAAAAATAGACAATCTCATTTAATATCCCTTCTAAGGAAACATCAAACTCGGTATGAATGTTTTGTTTCAAGGACTATTCAAGTACTGTGCTATTAGCTTGTGCATGATCCATTTAGGAAAGTTCTGAATCTCTTAGATTGGCTAAAAAAACACCACCTCTGGGGACATACTTGTCCAGCTTTTCTCTTTCAGCCTGATAGTGTCTGCCTTAGAAAGGTGAAAACAACCAAAGGCATCTTTTTAATAATGAGAACTGTAATCTCTTGGGTAGAATTCAGTGGTCTAAGTGCTTGGCTTCTGTGCAGTTTTTTATTGCCCTTCTCTCCTAATTTAGATGAACATCTAGATTTATTTAAGCTTTCATTGGGGAGTTTTTTGTTTGTTTGCTAAACCACAGAGAGACAAGTTCTTATTTTGAAAGCTCATCTAGCCATAAAGACCACTTGCACAGCTTCCCCACAGAAGTGCAGTTAGCAACAGAGGATATGTTTTGAAATCTTAGTACTGACATAAGCTTTTTGAAATGGTGCTGGAGAGGCACATAGTATCCCTTTCTGTAGTCCTGTTTCATTGGAGTGGTGAACACATTTTGAGGGGACATTAAAGAACTGTCATGACAGCTACTCTGTGAATCTTTGAAGCAAGATACAAGATGCAGTAACTCAAGGTTACAACATTTAGTATTTTCCTGCCCACCTCTTTTCTGTTTTCCTCTAGAAGCTGCTCTTAGGAGATCCTGCTTGGGCAGGAACAGTTTTTGTCCTGATCTAGTGAGTGGTCACAGAGCACTGCTCTGGTAGCTGTTGGTGTTAAACGCTGGAGAACAGTGAAGCCTGGAAACATGATATGAGACTTGCATATTTGTTCTATTTGAAACTTTAAATTTAGGTTTATGTTCTTGACAGTAATTCTTTTTCACATCAGAGTAGGGATTGGTTTGCAACTCCAGACATGCAGAATGCTTACTTCAGTATCTCAGTATGTTATTTCATTAGCAGTATCTTTTTCATTGTTTGTCAGGTAGATTCCTTGTTCAGATTTTCCCTTACGTCATTCATACAATGCTAAAAAATGAGCCCTCACACCTGGTAAATACAATAAATTTGAGAATTTCCTTCTAGAGTATTTATTTCTTCTGAACAAAGCCCCTAATATCGTTTAAATTATTTGGATTTTTTCAATCTGCTTCACTTCAGTAGTTTCTATTATTGTTCCTTATATTGGTTCTGGCAAATGCATTTTTAAAGCAAGTCATCTTGCTTGCACATCTGAATAGTTTTAATTAAATGCTTTCTTTTTTGAATATATATGTAAAAGCTACCAGTTGTGTAAATGATTAAATAATTTTTTGCATTTCTTGAGGCTGTGTTAAAGTAGAAATCTGTAAACGTAAGCTCAGTCTACAACAGAAAACACAAACACGTGCACAAGAAAAAAAAAAACAAAACAAAAAAACCCAAAAAAACCTCAAAAAAGGAAACTGGGTTTGTTTATCTTTTAGGAGAGCCCTGATACTACCTATTATATTCCAAAACTGTTAGAAGGATTTTTTTTTAGCTTTAAGCTGACAAACTTAAAATCCCTGTGAACATAACCATATTATTGTAGAATAGTGCAATTTAATTCTTTAAATGCTTTCCTTAGAGGTATTCTAACAGTAAGTTTATTTTAGTGGATTACTTTAAAAAAAAACAAAACCGTAGAATCAGAGTTTAGCTTAAATATTTCAGTGCTGGCTTTAAAGTAATAAACACCTGAGTTCTACTTGAAAAGCCTCTCTCCAGACCTGTGCATGTCTAGAGCATGCTAATGAACAGCATTAAATTAAACATGAGGGGAGAATGGCCAAAACTGGTACATATCCCTACTGGACTGACCAATGGAACTTGAGGTATGATTGTGCTTGCAAAATACAAGGTATGGTTAGAGGTGTGACACTGCTTGTCTTCCAAGATCCTTCTACAATTATATAAGCATCTGAAACACTTTAGAACTCCATTTAATTTTGACAAACAAAAAAGCAAAACAACAGTTTTTGAACATAGTTAGCTGTATTTTCTGTGACAGCTAAATCCACAGAGCAAAACTGTCCTGATAAAATCAAGTGATAAAAAATAGAAATGAGAAATGTTACAGAATTACTCACTGCTTCTAGAATTGGAGGATTTTCCATGATACTAGGTGATTCACTGCTAAATGTAGAAATACTTTTCATACCACCTGTTCTCAGAGAGTTTTAGGTAATTCATTTGTATATTAATATGAACTTTCTTACAGTATTCAAAAGTGGCAAATAATTCCAAAGAATTGGAAGACTGTGAGCAAGCTAACAAACTGGGAGCAGTTAACAGTACCCTAAGGTATGCTGTGATTTACAATAGTACAAAAATATAATAAAGGAGCATTTCATTTTGTCTGTCTTGTTTTTGTGATGTGCTGGGTTTTGTTCTTCATTCTTTCCATAGCCCATTAGAAAGTAAATGTGCAATGATGCAAGAACACCTGAAGGTAAAGGTATTAAGTGACAAGTAGACTTTGTTATATTTTCTTTTTTTCTAAGTACGCTTTGATATTATTTGAAAAAGATATCTTACAGCATCAAGAGTCAGAGGAAACTTGTAAATAAACCCACCTTTTTTCTACTTTTTACCAGTATCAGTTGTTATTTTTGATGACTGTGCTGGATTAAAGGATTTTGTCCTGCTCTGTCCCTCATTACACTGACGTACCTGTTTGTGATCATTCAGTGAGTCGGATCAGGGACCTTGTGAGTTACTTTTGTTGTTGACAAAGTTATTTTTAGCTTGGATCAATTCCCTGATCTTGCTTATTGCATGGCACAGTCACAGTTGGGTGGAAGGAATTTTTCAGGATGGTTTTGCCCCTGAGTAGGAAAATATGTGGAATGGCACTTAAAAATACTTGAATTCTACTAGATTCCCAGCTTTTAAGAAGTAGAAATAAGAAAAGGTCTGGTGCCTTTGGCCATAGATTGCAGTAGTTCTACGTTAGAAGAATGTTGAAACTCTTTCCTGTTTGGAAAAATGGGACTGCCATGAAAAGGCAACTGCTTCTGTCTTGTGTTTGGTGCTGTAAACCAAACTGAGTAAAGGCCTTATTCAATATTTTCCAGGGGAAATGAGAAACTATTGACTCTCTTTTGCTGTAGAGCAAAAGAATACGAGATTGAGTACACATATGGAGAGCTAAAGAGAATGCCTTTTAAGAGAGTAGGATAGATGATTAAAGTTGGGAAAGGGCAGGTAATAGATCCTGTCGTCCATGAAGAGTTTATGCTTTGTAGGCAAACCTTCTTGTTCCCTACCTAGCAGTGCATCATCTGCATGGTTTTGGGATATTTTCCTTTCTCAACTGTATTGTTTGTGATTACCAAATCTTGTCTGCTAGTAATTACTAGAAAAGTTCCTTGTTTGATGTCAAGTATAAAGTCTTCTATTGTGATTTGGCTGAAGGTTAGAAATGTATCTTGTTATAGAATTGTCTCTGCTTGTAGAATTGAGCTAGTACTAATTTGATCAAACAAAATACGTTGCTTTCATTATTTTGGAGTTCCCAATTTTAACTTTGCTTGTGGTTTTCTCTCTGTAGTGTGGCATCACTAGTTATATTCTGCACATATGCACACAAGAAGGCTTTCCCTTTTCAGCACTGCTTGTATTGCACAGTGTGGGAACTTTAAAGTGCTTATCTTTATGGTACAAGTACACCTTTGAAAATGCTATAGTGCGTGGAGTACCATTGTGATTTAAAAGGCTTGAGACAAGTAATAGAGTAATTTAAGATGTCCAGTTTCCCACTAAAAATCAGGCTAACTGGTGTAGATCTTCTTGAAAATACAGTTCAAGAAAATATTATTTCTCCCCTGCCTCCCCAGGTAACAGCTGCTGAAATAGTACTTTGAAAAATGTTAAAAATGTATAGTATGAAAATATTTTACCAAGCTCTTACTGAAGGAGGAGAAGTCACTGCCAGTGCACAGTTTGTTGCAGTAATGATGGTGAAATCTTTCTTGCTGTCTGACAATAAAATTACTTTGAAGCATTGCAGTTGATGCCTGCGTGAATCTCTGTGCGGTTAACAAGCAGTAACTCCATATATTCTCAAGTGTCAGATACAGTAATCCAGAATTCATTTCCAAATTAACTACTATAAGTGGATTGTGTTTCTTTCAGTACCTCTTACTGATGTTGTTCATTTAAAAGTTTAAAATCAAATGTATTTTCTTCCCCTCAGTAACCAAAGTAAGGAGGCTTTCATTGACTGGGCAAGATACGATGATTCACAGGATCATTTTTGTGAACTTGATGGTAAAATGTTTAAGCTTTTTCTGAGTGTTTGTCTTATTTGCTGTCTTTTAAAAAGTACAAAATATTATAGTTTCTCTGCAAATAACTTTTTTTTTTGAAGTTTCAATTTTGTGCTAAATGGCGATGTGACAGTTCATACAATCTTACATGCAAAGTGCAATTTTTTAAATGGAGCATGTGGTAGTCACCACAGTGCACATTCAGTTGCCCCCTGTCAGTATAGTGAACAGAAGACCTTTTAGGGAAATACGAAAAAGGTAAATAGGAGGAGTTTAGCATATATTTTTTAAAAAGCTTTTTCTTACAAAAGAGTTGTATAAATATAAAAAAAATTGCTTGCACCTACTTCAGTTTCTTACTACTAAATTATTTTTGTTGCCATTATACTGCCTATGCTTGGGCTGAGTTTGTTCCTCCTCTGGCCTCGCTCTGTTTCCAAATGATCTACACTAAGTTAACTCTTATTTGCAAAGACTTTCTTACTGTTAAAACACTAGGATACTAGATTGTCTTCCCTCTTCTCCACATATGCAAGTCCTTTTATTTGTTTGTAACATTCAGAACTCACAGAAATGTTTTTCAGATAAGCATGAGGATTGCCAAATTCAGCAATGACTGCTAAAGGCCTTTTTAATAAATACCTTAGGAAGTGTTCTATGCTAGGAAGACTAAAGGCATAATGCAGGATGTTTTAATCTACCTTTAGGATGATAATGTTTAATGTCACCTGAGAAGAAGCTGTAGTGGACTTAGCAACTGCAGTTTTCTTTCAGCACTTCTGCTGTGTCTTACCTGTGAAATTTTCTATTATAAACTGTTTCTGTAAAAATATTCAATACGCGTTACTGTAGACCTGAACTATTATATGCAGTAAGCTGCTGTTGTCCCTACTATCTTCAAGCTGCCTACTTACTTAAGAGGACTCAGTTGGGAAAGGTTTAGTTTAGGAGCATTTTTTTTAGAAATAATGCTAGCTCAAGTAGTTCCTTATTCTACCACCTTCTCTCCTTACATTATGCCCTGCTGAAGGAGGGTGTACTGCCCACAGCTTGTTCTTCCAGTTCTTTTTTTTTTTTTTTTTGTTGGACTAGCTGCATCTTTCTGCATGGTAAGCTGATTCAGCTTACTTGAATAGCAAGAAAGTAAGTTGACATCTCAGTGCTATCTCCTAGATTGTTGGGATGGACTGGCTTGTCAGGTGAGTTTGTGAGCTGGAGCAGGAAGAGGTGTGAGAGAAAAACTTTTAGTCTTCACCTCCTCTCTTCCTGGTGGTGAGAGAGTTCTTAATTTACTCAACTGTGGCACAAAACTGTATAATCAGTTTTGCTTTTTACTAATTTTTTTTGTTGGGCTTAATGATAAACTAGATAAGGGAATTGATCTAGCTGAAAAAAATTTCATAACCCGAGTCAGCTTTCCATCCTTCTGTTGCTCTGCCCCACAGACTCAGTTTTATGTGGATAATGAGAAGAAAAAGTGGAGACCTGAAGTGACCAGGAAGTGTGTAGGAACTGCTTAGGTTAGCCATGTTGTCAAAGAAATAAATAAAGCTGTAATTTGATTGTACCATCTGGCACTCCCTGTGGTGTTGTGTGTCTTGTGTCTGTCTCTTTTTTTTGTTTTTGCTATTACTGCTGAAGTGATGCTTAACTGCTCATGCAGAATCATCTCTTCTTTTTAGAGCAGTTTTCACTCTGTTTCTGTGGCTCTTTTTGACATCTGAGGACATACTCTGTGTGACTGCTTGGCCTATTCCTATAAATAAGTCTCTGGACCACTGGCTTGTATTGTATGCAGGTTTCCTTAAGCATGAGTTGCTCTTGACCTAGAATTTCAAAGAGAAGGGAATTCTTCCTGCTTTTTACTGGTAGCTTGAAACTTAAGTTACTATTCGTATGGAGTTTTCAAGCAGAGAAAGTACTGTTTCACAATTTTATTTGGGTATGTTGCCTGAATTTGCAGTGAACTTTAGAGGTGAGGGTATAACTTGTTGAAATGCTGCTTAAATAACACATTTCTTGCCATAAGCAACAGAGTATTCTGCAGTATGTTGGAAGTTTGTTCAATTAAGCAATGGAATCCAGACTTTCTGCCAGTATACAAGGTTATGTTGGGGGGAAAAAAGGAATTTAGCTAATCAATATGCAGTAACTACAAGAGGCACTTCTTTGACCTTGTCTTTGTTAAGAAGCCCCTGTAGCAGTGTACCCATTTCAACAAAACAAACCCCCCCAACCAAATACTGCCTCAGACATAGTAGAAATTCTGGCCACACGAGACTTTGGAATAAATTATATATATTTTTAGCTTTCTATTTAGTGCATATATTGCTGTATTTTTACATACAAGGCATTTCTAATCCAGCTTGAAAACAGCGTAGTATTTTATGAAGACCTCTTGTTTATATTTAATTCTATGTGACTTTTAAAAATTGAATTTTTTTTTTTAAACAATCAGTTTGAATATGTAACAAAAGATTTCTTATTTAGATGAGAGATCTCCAGAAAAATGCTGAACCCAGAACGTTACACGGGATACAAGGGGCCGTCTGCTTGGAGAGTGTGGAATAGCATCTATGAAGAAAACTGCTTCAAGTAATTGGGAGGGACAGGAAGTCTGTTTCTTATATCTATGCTTCAGTTTAGCTTAAAACTGATTTTTGTGTTTTCTGACTTCTTTTCTAGGCCTCGATCTGTCTATCGTCCTCTAAATCCACTGGCACCTAGTAGGGGTGAGTCTTGTCTGTTTTGCTTTCTAATGCAGTTCTTTTACCATAGTGACTATTTCAGTACAAGTGATACAAATATTAATCTTAGTCTGTAGTTGCTCATTTTGCTTTATTAATTTTCTGTGTAGAAGTAGCTGTCCATTTTCAATATTTAGTCTAAGGTTTGTGATAACTTGTTACAAACATGCTTTAACCTAAGGCAAATTAATAGGCTTATTAATGTCAGGTCAGCTACTGTGAAAACTTAAGTAAGTCTCTGTTTAGTAAGTGTCACAGTATTTTCCAATGTGGATTGGAAGGAGTTAAATTTAAACAAAAATTTCAGTGCTCTTGCTATCTTCTTGTATATTTTTTCCTAGAGCATTTAATTTATTCACTTGAGCTCATAATCATCCTAGTGTAATGTAGCTGTATGTTTTCCATCCATAGATTTAGTGCATTACAAGTGTACAAGTAATTGCATTATTTGAAGTAAGAGTGGATACTTAGGAAGGCTCAGTTATCTTCAAAAAAAAGTATGCCAGTGACTTGGGTTTTAAGTTTTCAAATTTAAATTGAAAACTATAACCTGTGCTTCTCTGCTAGTATGTCTCATTTCTATTAAAAATTAACTATTATCCAATAGCTCAAGCTTACAGAATCATAGAATGTCCTGGATTGGAAGGGCCTCTAAAGGTCATTAGTCCAATCACGCTACAGTAAGCAGGGACATCTCATGCTAGAACAGATTGCTCAGAGCCCCATCAAGCCTGACCTTGAATGTCTCTAGGGATGGGGCCTCCACCACCACCTCTCTGGGCAGCCTGTTCCAGTGATCCACCACCCTCATATTAAAGAAATTTTTCCTAATGTCTATCCTGAATCTACCCTTTTCCAGCTTAAAATCACTACCCCTTGTCCTGTCATTACATGCCTTTGTAAACAGCTCTTCCCCAGGTATACACAGATAAAAATAATTGTAAGAGCAGTTTAACTCAAGGATCAGAATTTCAGAAGAGTGCACTGGTCAGATTGTTGAATAATGTGAACTGAAGACGAAAACTTCCTAACTTATCTTTCTGAAGTTAAAATATAGCTCTCAAGAATACATAAATTAGTTGCTACTAAGATTTCAAATTCTTAGTGACTTTAATTATTATAATGTGTTTAGTCTCAGGTAGTCTGGAGGAAGAGGATGAAATTAGCCTAGTTTTTGTAGATTAAATAAGGTTTCTTGTACTTTTTCAGTATTTGTAGTAAAGCTTGTGTTTCATTACTATTTTGCAGTGGAAATTATCTTTTGAATGCTTATGGATTTTTTTCTTTCTTTCTTTTTTTCTCTAAGGAGGAGATGATGGTAAGTCATCTTATTTTGCTTTACCTGCAGAAACGAAGCAAGGATTAAAGAGTTTTGGACGTGTGATTTTTTTTTTTTCACTTTATTGTTATTGCATTAAAGGGCAGGGAAGTTATGTTTTAATGCAGGTGATTGATCAGAAAATATTTTTATTGGAATAATTATTTCATTTGGAGCACGGGGAAGAAGTGGATAAGAGCAAAATACAGTTCTGTTCTTGGTTCTTGTCCTTATAACAGAATATGTATTGTGATAATGTTATTAGCAAGATAACTAGAGATGCATAAATTAAAGGATTCTTGGGTCCCCTCTAGAGCCCCATTGATAGTGATGTCAGATCCCTTAAAAGAAGAGGGTCAGTTTCTTGTGTACTTTCTTGAATGTCCTTGATTTTGGTAAGGTGGGGAGAGGGGCGGGGGATGGGGAGGAAATGTATGGTCTGTCTACAGAGAGAGAGACTTAAGTTTTTTTCAGTCAATTCAAAGTTTTCAGGCAATAGATGTAAGCCTACCCAAAACCTCCAGTCAGTAGCAGTCAGGGTAGGGGCTATCAGATATAATTACCATTGTGTCTTTCACCACTACTGCATATCATCAGGCTTGTGCTTTCATACACTTCTAAATGCCCTGACCAGTAGCTCAGTCATGCTTGCTCATGTATTTCTTCTATTCTGACCCCAGCAGATTTAAACTAACCTCAGAGTTCAGTCATTTCAGTGCCTGTTCTCAATTTAATAGTTAAAAGAGTTTTCTCTATGTCCAGATGGCAGCTAAGGTTAGTCTTCATAAAGATACTGTAATGCTGAAAATTAATTTTGTTCATTTAACTATATACTTTGTATTTACAGGAGAATCTTTCTACACATGGCTAGAAGGTAAAATCTCTTTGATGGGTTAATATAATGTTAAATTCACTAGAAGAAACACCGTAGTACTTTTTCCTGTCCCCAAGTGTTTTTCGCAGTGAAGGCTTTTTAAGAAATTGTGCAGAGCTTCTGAGTGTCATTCAACTAATATTTTTTTCTTGAGGGTCTTTGGCAATCTTTTCACTTAGATGGTATACTCCTTAGACCCTCCAGTGTTATATTTTTTTATAAAGGAGTTACTTCAATACCAGTTACTTTGAAAGCAGGGACATGATTATTAGTGACATGACCAAGTATTTTTATTTGAAAACAGATTTTAAAAATTGAAAGCTTTTGATGGTTCTGTTCCTAGTATATAAACTAACAGAAGTTGCTTTTTATTAATATTTAAATAAAAATTATTATTGGAATAGCATTTTGGAGGTGTTAGGAAATATAAATTAGTTTAATGTACTTAATTTTAAACTTAGTGCATTCTGCCTTTCATAAGCCTGTGTTTGTCTTGTTGAAAATAACCTAACTGGTGCTGTGGTAGAAAAGTATACAAATTTACATTGAACATGTAAACACTAAAATACCAGATAGTGAGTGTCAAACTTCATTCTTAGTACTGCTTTATCTCAAAAATAAGAATTGAAGTTTTCCTATGGATATAAGAGCTTATTAACAATGCTCAAGTACTGTAATTATAACTCTTGAAAGCTAAATGGTGCAGACTGGTGTCCCTGAAATGTCAAGGTTTATTCATTTGAATTCCTCCTTTCTGGTATTTAGTTTGGGGTCTGTTTGTCTTTTTTCCTGAGCAGGTCTTTGCCTGGAGAAAAGAGTGTTTTATAAACTCATTTCTGGACTTCATGCTAGTATCAACTTGCATCTGTGTGCAAATTATCTTCTCGAAGGTAATTTAAGTCATGTTAAAATTGCTGAATGCAATTCTCTATTATCTCTAACATGGATTTGGACTTTTTTTTTCTGAAAATTTTTGATATATGCTTAGTTGCTTGCTTTTGCTAAGTGTGTATGTTTTACCAGGCATGCCCTTTTTTCTTCCTCTTTGTAGAAACCTGGGGGAAGCCCCGCTGGGGACCAAACGTGAAAGAGTTCACTCGCCGCTTTGACCCTGTTGAAACAAAAGGAGAAGGACCAAGGAGGCTCAAAAACTTGTATTTCTTATATTTGATAGAGCTGCGTGCTTTGTCAAAGGTTGCACCCTACTTTGAACGTTCAGTGGTTGACCTTTACACTGGAAATGGCCATGAGGATGCTGAATCTAAAGCCCTCTTACTAGATATCTTCAGGGATACAAAGTAAGGCATCAGGTTTCTTTTTATGAATAGTTTAAAATTCTCTGTTATATTGGCAAGTGAGAATAGATTATTTCTTTATGGGATAGGACAAGGAGAGTGGAATGAGGAAATAAGTAATGGGAGAGAGGAAGAGGAATTTGTACTTTTGATGGGAAGAGAATAATATTTTTGAGATTTTAATATACCAGTCTTTAAAAAAAATCACACCACAGACAGACAAAAAAAATGCCACACAACAACCTGGGCTAATCCCTATTTGGTTTTTTTTCTGATTCTCCAGTATAAGATGGGCATTATTTATTTTGAAAAGGAAAATAGAAGAATTAGAAAATAGAATCATAAAATTGTTTTTGTTAGAAAAGACCTTGATGATCATCAAATTCAGCCTTTAACCCAGTACTGCCAAGACCACCACTAAACCATGTCCCTGAGCACCACACCTATGCATCTCTTAAATACATCTGGGGATGGTGACTCAACCACTTCCCTGGGCAGCCTGTTCCAGTGCCTGACAACCCTTTTGGTGAAGACATTTTTCCTAATTCGCAATCTAAACCTTTCCTGGCACAACTTGAGGCCATTTCCTCTTGTTCTGTTGCTTGTTAGTAGGGAGAAGAGATCAACCCCCACCTCACTAACACCTTCTTTCAGGTAGTTGTAGAGAGCAATAAGGTCAGCCTCAGCCTCCTTTTCTCCTGGCTAAACAACCCCAGTTCCCTCAGACACTCCTCATAAGGCTTGTTCTCCAGTCCCTTCACCAGCTTCATTGCCCTTCTCTGGACTCACTCCAGCAGCTCAATGTCCTTCTTGTAGTGAGGGGCCCAAAACTGAACACAGTACTCGAGGTGCAGCCTCACCAGTGTTGAGTACAGGGGAACAAGCACTTCCCTAGTCCTGCTGGCCACACTATTTCTGATACAGCTGTTTCTGATTATTAGTGACAAATCCAACTTCTATAATAGACTTAACCTCTGGGGTTTCAGCCTTCCCTTCTTCCTTCTGTTTACTCTGTAAAGTTCTTTAGTCAAGTTCCTTTGCTCACCTTTTTGCTGATCTTTGTGGCTGGTAACATACTCTGTGGCTTCATTGCTGTCCCTAATCATAATATTGCTTGGAATTTGGGATATGATTGGACAACGATCAACTGAAAGGCAAACAAGAAGGTAATTTCAGTGTATATTAGAAGGAAATCTTGAGCAGTGGCCATAGACTGAAGAAAATTCTCAACAAAACTGTAAATAACAGATTTCAAGATATAGTGATTGAATAGTAAAACTGATACCATTCAGTAAATTTTTGAGCTATTCTGCAAAGACTAGGAATTCTGAGAAGTATATTACACTCATGGCATCCACGGCTCACCAGACTTGATGGAACACTGTAGTTTATGCCAATGTTTGGGGTTTTTTTGTGTTTTGTCTTTACTAGGTCCTTCCATATGCACTTTGATGAAAAGTCCATGTTTGCTGGAGATAAAAAAGGAGCCAAGTCATTAAAGGTAAAGCTCTTTTTCTGAGTTACATCCAAAATACCCATTTTGGAATTAAGTTGTGTTATTTTAGAGAACCTCTCAACCTCTCAGAAGCATATTGCTGAGAGTAGAAAAGGCAGGGATAGAAACTTACAGAATTGTATCTGAGGCCTCTTAATCTTCTTTGTAGTAAATGAATGCAAGGTGTTGTCCTGAGCCAGGCGGACTGAAATCTCTGGTTTAGTGCCTTGCATCTGCCATCAGGACTGTGGTGAGGTAGATTAGTTCAGTTGATATTACCAGTAGGTTGTGTTGTGTTTTTTTTTTTCTAATGGAGTGTCTGTTTTACGTAAGCATGTGGGAAAAAAACCAAAACAGAACCAAAACCAAACCAGGGAATTTTACTTAAAAACCAGATGACTTATAGAGTATAATAAAGTGTAAGATGATATTATACTTAACATTAGTAAAACATAATTCCTAGACATGGGAACTTAGTGTGAATCCTTGTTACTGCCTAGCAATTTCCAGGGTTAAAGTGCTTATGTTCAGACTGGTATGCACTACAATTCCACAGCTGGAGTAATACAGGTTGGTTTTGATACTTATTTACACATTTAATTCATATTTCAGTAATAGTATGGAATTTCATCAGCATTAGAAAGAATTATATTAGAAAAGCACCAGTAGTTTTATCAGCACAGCTAGTGTTTTCTGACCTTAATATCTAACTGAGATAATATCATTTAGTTCTGTGCTATGCTTGCTTCCACTCTGAAGCTGCAAAGCAACAATTAACCCACAGCTTTGAACAGGAAATGTCTTTTGTGAATTGTGGCTTGTTTGCCCGTTTGTCAGAAAGGTAGGTTGGTTCAGAAGGTACTTGAATAATTGAAAGAAAATGGGGCAGGGACACAGATACAGTAGTTACAGTTCAGAAAATTTTGAGCAAGTTCTTAGAAATTCAGTGTGTATGATCCAAGCATTACTTTGAATGTCCTGTACTTTGATTTTGGGTTTGTTTTTTTAGTAGAAATTAACTATTAAGTAGAAATTAACTATTAGCAGTGGCTGGAAACAAGATTCTGGGTTTATATGGACCTTTGTTATAGTCTGACTACATATCATAGTGGTTTTGTTAAGTTTTAGTAATAGAGAATTTATATTCTACTGGTACTAGATTAGTTAACCTGCCTTTGTAAAGCTAAGAGGTATTTTAAGTTAACCTTTTTAATTTTGTTTTTATCTAACAGGAAGAGTTCAGATTGCATTTCAAGAACATATCCCGCATAATGGATTGTGTTGGATGTGATAAATGCAGGCTCTGGGGCAAACTGCAGGTATGGCTTATTGTGTGTGTGTGAATGGCAGGGGTAGGTCAGAAGATAACAAACAAGGTATTTCTTTTTGGCAGGATGCCTCTTAGCATTTGGACTTCCTGCACATGGTTGGTCTTTGATATCCTTACCTATATATTAAAAATAGACATGTTTAGTTGACTGCTAAACAAATTAAATATGTTTATTTTGTTTAGTCAGCAGCTGTTTAGTTTACTAAAAGGTATATTTTGTATTTTCCAGAAAAATTGTATGTAAAGTAGATGCTTCACAGCAAAGTCTCACTGGCAGTCAATATCTTATCTGTATTCTGTGATGAGATGAGCCTTGTAGAATCACCTGTGGGAAGCCTTCCTGGAAATACAGCACTTGGTTAATTATTAGAAAAAAACAACTTAAGATTTCGCTCCACAAATAGAGGCATAAGAAAAAAGAAGAAATTCAGGTTCTCACAATTTATGCAGAAGGCAGCAATTGAATACAAAGGTGCACAGTAAAGCTGAAAGCTGAGAGAAAGAAATTCTGTTTCTGGACATCTATTTTATTTTATTGAGAACCAGATCTTAAAACTCAAGACTAATGTTAAGTCCAGGCTGTAAATAGTTCTTTCTTTGGGTTGCCTACTGCACTCTTCTACTGTATAGCATTAAGCTTACCAGGATTCAGTTTTCAAAGATTTTTATAACATCAAAAATTTGGTCATCTCTGCTGAATTTCTGGAGTTCTGCCTATCGTGTCCGAGTTAATACTTCTGATCTATTACTGGTTTTTCCTTCTCACAAAAAAATGAAATAGGGTCAGGTTTCCTGGCCTATAAAATTGCAGCCAGCCCTAACTGCTTTTTGTCAAAATCCAGTGGTTGTTTCTGTGGCCTGATAAAAAGAGGAAATAAGAATGGCTTCTTCTGTTCTATTTCTGTATAGAAAATAGGGGTTGAAACTGCAATGTCTGACACTGGGATTGTGGGTGGAAAAAGCAGAAGTGTTGTCATACCTCATAATAAAACCTGGTTTGACTGGGGAGGGGGCAGAGGGGAAAGGAAAAGGAGAGAGGTGATCCATCAGTTCCTGGAGCAGTTGGACATCTCTAAGATAAGGGATGGGAGGGAGCTGTAAGTGTGGTAAGAGACATGTTGTCATACACATCTGGTGTGACTGAGAAGAAATGAGATGGGAAAGGAAGATACTAAAAACATGAAGATGAAGAGCAAGTATACCTGAGGAGATGCATTCTTAAATAAGTGATTGACCCTGGCACACAGTTCATGGCTTGCATTTGTATTCATGTCCTGGTTTGTGTGCAGTTGTTTGGGTTGAGGGAGTGTCAATATAGAAGAACTGGTGCTACAGTTTGCCTGGATTAGTAATTTTTAAACTGAGAGTTCAAAGGAGTGATCTTGCTGATTTTAAAACACTGTACTTTTTTTGTAGACTCAAGGCTTAGGAACTGCTCTGAAGATCTTGTTTTCTGAGAAAGAAATTCAGAGCCTTCCTGAGAATAGCCCATCAAAAGGTTTTCAACTCACACGTCAAGAAATAGTTGCTCTTGTAAATGCTTTTGGAAGGTAAGATTTTATCATTTTTATAGTAGAAAATACATAAAACATCAGCATTAACACTCAAGGTCTGTGGAAAGATGGTACTGTACATGTAGCTGTACCTTTTAACAGCTGAATTATTACTAGTGATATTGATAAATGTAATGCCATAAAACTGAGTATGTGGCTGATAGTTAGTCTAGGTCATTATTGTGTGTTGGGATTCAGTTCAACTATCTCAAATCCAAGAAGTTCCATCCTGTGAAAGCTGCATTTAAGTGTCCAACAGTCTTAAGCATTAGAATTTGGGTATGTCTTTTCAGTTTTGGACACTAAGTAGAGGTTTACTACATTTTTATTATTTCTAATTTAAATGTGTGTACATCAGAAATAGTGAAAAGGAAGAAAAATACTTGGAGACTTTTTCACACTGTCATTTAGCCTTTAGGCTTTTGTATTTTTGTGTATGATGTGATTATTTTTGTTAAAAATTTCGTTTTTTGAAAACAGCAACAATTTATGCTGTTCAAGTGGTGAAACAAAGCATTTTAACAACTTCAAAAGATGTGTAGGACTTGCTTTGTTCATCATGCTAGTTCTTCAGGTCTTGAATATGGCATCTGGTCTTCTTTAGATGTTTAATGAAGTTGGGAGAATTTAAAATATATCTAAACTTTAAAATATATCTAAACCTGTGATATATTATGTAAATATAATGGAGAGTCAGATAGTAGATTTTTTTTAACGTATCTTTGTTAATCTTTGGAACAGAATTGTGTTTTAAAAAAGAAACAAAAAGCCCCAAGTATGAGATGATGATTTGCACTTCTCTTTCACAGTTGACTTCTAACACTTACAGGGTTTTGGTTTTACAGGCTTTCCACAAGTATAAGGGAGTTGCAGAATTTTAAAGTTCTGTTGCAGCGAACTAGGTAATGAAGGCCTTTGCACAACCCAGGAGGGAAGACCATTCACAGAACTGTGCTGAGCAGAAGGAACTGATCCTTACAGGACTCACACGAACTGATAAAATGTAAAATCAAATACCAACTTGGATATTTATGTTTCAACTAGGAATGGTTATTAATTAGAAAAGATATTTATGAATGAAATATATAGTTTTTAAATGTGTAAATTATGCTGATCTGTTTATTTTTCAAGTTCTCTGCTCACAATTCTGTTGTAATGAAACTTCATGTGTTTTCTTTATTTCCTTGTCTTTTTGAGACAGTTGTTTTATATGAAAACATGTGTTCCTCCACCCTGACTTTGCCTGTCCTGAGAGAGGTGGTCCACCTCTTACCTTTCCTCAATACTGAGCTCCAGTGTGTTCTGAGGATTGGGTATGCTGATTCTGGCTGGATAAAAGAGAAAAAAACAGAAAAGGAAATACGGCTCTTGTTGAGTTCTGACTTCTTATTCTAATAATGAAACTTACTTAAAAATAGGAAATTCACTGAGCAGAAAATTTTATTTCATTCTGAACTCCTTTGCATCATGCTGATATCAACATTTTTTTTCCTTAGGTGCTGCTTTTCTGATTTATTTTTTTATTTAAATAGCTACTTTGTCTCTGATGCAGCACAGCTGGAAGTGACTTTTCTGCAGCCCCTTCACTTCACTGCATTTGAGTGGGGGTAAGGGCTAGGGGAGATGGTTAGTGGAATGCTGCTAGCTGAAAAGCCTCTGCCAATCAAATTTGCATCTAGTCCATTTTCTAGATTGTAATCACAAGTTCAGCTTCCAGAAATAGTCTTTTTAACATCTAAAATGTTAAAATAGCACATTTACAATATTTGAGATGTGGTAATAGGTTTGCTTTTTATGGGTTATGTTTCAGTGCTATATTGAAAGGTCAGTGCAAAAATGAAGGACTTGTTTTTGTAGTCACTTTTAAAAAAGATGCTTTTTAAAATTCATAATCACACTGATATTTAATACTGCATATTCTATCTATGCAATCCCTAACTGTATCTTCTTTAAAAGGATATTCAGCTTAATAAAACGGGTATGTTAATAACAGAACTTTCATAGAATAAGAAATAATTTGTGTATCATTGTCCACAAATTTCAATGATAACTCATCATTGTCCAAAACAGAATTCAGAAACAGCATTACTGATTAGTAGCAACCAAATACTGGTTTAAATTTAAATGAAGTAATAATTTTTTTAAACCAGCATGTTTCAAAGTGAAGTTAGGAGTTACGGATGTAGGAAGTCCTGGTGCAGTGTAGATGCATCTCATGTTTTTAAAAGTACATCTTCACAAAATGAAGTGCTCTTAAACATTTTTCACCCTACCAGATACTTAGTGACCTGTTTATATAATTGATTGTAACTGTATTGGCTTCCATAATGTGGTCCTTTACAGCTGGGATTTTCTGAAAGCTGGATTATGCTCTGTGTCCTTTGTTTCCAGAGTAGCCTCAGATTTCTCCCTGCCTGGAAATGAGAGACTATCCTAGGAGCTGACACCTGCTATTAAAGAAATACTGTTTCTCAAGAAAGCAAACTCTCTTGAGTCAAAGTCAGATAAGCTAAATGAAAGATTAAAAGAAGAAAAAAAAAAAAAAAAGGGGGGAGGGGGGGCAACTCCAAAACAACCTCAAATCCCACAAAGTTTTGGTGGTACTTGCACAAATTGGCCATGAACTGGTATCCAGTCTTACCTTCCTGTTTAAGCCTTTTCGATAATTTACTGTGCTGTTAGAGAAAGCTGATGCCAGTCTGGTGGTGTTATGCTCTTACCCAGCCGCCTCTTTTGCCTGTGGGCACACATGTCTGAGCAAGTCACCACAGGCTTCCTTTTTCTGGTTAATGGAGAAGGGCTGCTGATTTCTAGGTGGGTTCGTCTGGCCTGTTCTGAGCTCTGTATTATATACCCTAGGATGCGGTGGTATGTACCCTAGCTTTATTTTTCTCCATTAAATTGAAGTGGGAATCTAGGTAACTATCAGATGTGAACATCTGTGTTTGGTAAATGAGTTGCACCCGGAGTATCTAAATCTTCAGACTAATCATATATATATTGAAAAATTGTGATTTTTCAATTGGCCATTAATTCTTTACCTTTTGGATTGGCCTGCGAGGGCTAGAACCTGTAGGCTTACTTGTGTGAAGAATGTTGTATAGCTGGCATTTATCTGTGTTATTATAGTGTCTAAAGCTTTAGGCAAGATTTCCTAGGTGAAAATAAATTGTGTTGTCTGTGCTGCCCCAGGAAGGAACTTAAGTCTCAGAATTGTTTCTTCCCTTTTCCCCCTTGCTTTGTGGGGAAAGTGAATTGCTTCCAACTTTCTTCTGGGGATGCAACTTGCTATTTTTATTTTTTTTCCACTTGTGCCTGGCTAAAATCTATGGACACTGAAGCAGCATCTCATGCTAGTGTCATGCACTTCCTGATGGGACAGGTGAGAGATTCAGGCATGCAGATCCTGGACACCTGCTCCTTGCAACCCTCATTTGGCACAGTGCAGGCAAGGTTAATACCGTTGGGAAAGGACATAGTGGGAAGCTTTTTGTGTTTTCTTTTGTCATGAAAACACAGGAATGCAACTGAACAGCAAATTCTGTGTACAGGGAAGTTCTGTTGCATTTGAATGTGCATCTCATGTGGTAGATCAAATCTGGAGGAATTTCATTTCACTGTCATTGTAGAAATAGGACAGAAGATTTTTCCTGTTAAAAATCTAGACAATTTTCCTGTCACCATCTTTTTTACTGTATTCTATGTACATTCTGTGACTATGCTGCCTATGAAGTTTTGCCATGGGAGTCAGATGACTTAGTTGTTTATATGTTAAATTAAATTTTACAAGATTTACAGATCTGTTTTATACTAAAGAATAAGGTTAGTGACACTGTCTGTGACCTGTAAAGTATTTTAAATTCTTGCTCCCTGTTGGAGATCAGCTTGTCAACATTGTCTGCTCTTCATTTCACAGTGAAAGTACATTTCCTTGTACAAATGACACAATGATTGTACCCTAGAGGTAGTTAGAAGACAAAGACAAAAATGCGTATTTTTTTCCCAAGTAATGAAGACTTACATGGAATGTTAAAAAAGACTTGGTGCAAACTGCATAGGTAAAATGTGTAGGGCACTGTTGGTGAACAAGTTGCTCTTCAGTGCCCGAGGAGGAGGGTGAGAATATAGATTTAAGACAGTAAAATATAGACACTTGTGTAAGAGGAAATAACAAAAGTGTTTTCCTACTTCAGCTGATGATTTGTGCTCTATGTCATTGTATGTGCATGAAATACACTGTGCCACACTTTCTTGAGTTGTTGTTTTGATGGTTGGGTTGCTTTTATCTGACCTTGCTTTGTGCTTTTCTGGGAAATGAACTGTAATATGTTGTAAATAATCTAGATGCTTATGTTTATAAAGTAGCAATCGGCAATTCATCACTTTACAACTCCTCCATATAGCTAGCCAATTAAAATGTAATATTTATTAAAATCAGACTCAGTGTTGGAACTGCTTACTGAGATCTAAACACTTAGGAATCTTTGCTATGTTTGAATCTATAAAATGCAAATTAAAATATTTTCTGCTACAACTATTTTTGTGAATGTAATTTTTGGGTTTTCATTTGAATTTTTTATGGTTTACTTTTAATTTAATTTACCTTTCAACCACATGTGGTAGAAATTATGTAATGTAAATTATTTAGATGCCAGTCACCTAACCTTAAGTTGATGAGCAGGCTTTCATTCTCACTTCAATTCTGTTCAAAAGATGAATGTAATTGTTCACCTGCTGTTGCTCACAGTCCATTGTACCGTGTCAACACATCAGCAATTCACATGGCAGAATTACAGCGTTTCTGTATGAATATGGCCAAAATTAGCACTGTGTAAAACAATTGGACTTAAGGCAAAAAGGTTCATTTTGAAATGAAGTTTGGTCCAATCTATCCCATTCTCAGAATAGCTTATAAATTAATTTTATAAATATTTTTCTGGCTCTTCAGGTGCAATTATTGCCCCTAAAGGGATTCTGCAGCTCTCTGTTTAATTCTATGTATGTATTTCTAACAAATTATCTTACTAAAAATTTGATACATGTTTTTCATCCTCAGTTTAGGTGGGTAAGTACCTGTTACACAGGAAATTATACTTATAGTTAATTATAGTAATTTAATTTAAATATGAAGACCTTAGTTTTCCCGCTGTTGTTTTAAATCTCCTGTGTCTGAGAGTATTTAATTGATGACTGTGATTGGTTATAGACACTTTGTACTTTCACTTTTCTGCATGCATACTGTGGCATAGGGATTAAGCTTGTTTTAAATGCAGCATTCTCATAGCTAAATTCTTGCTGTGCAGCTGTAGCTACTGTGAAAAAAAATGTAATACCTGCAGACTTTTCTTGCACTAGATCTTCAGGCGATTTTGTACAAACATGATTGCAGAACACCAAAAGGTTTAATAAAATTCCTGTTATTCTCCCAACCCTGTGGCACCTCTTTTAATCTCTGGATGATTGTTTAATTGGCTTGTTTTCTTCCATGAACATTCGGGAAGATGTGAAGAAACTAATGGAAGTTCTGGAGGGCAAACAGTTGGCAGGGTCTGCCAGAGGCAAGGCTCGTGCTTTGATTTTACCACAAAGGTCCCAAAAATCAAAGGCCCTGTGGAAGACTTGGCATATGTGTTCCACTACTGTGGTTGTGGCTTCCAAGCAGACCTGATGAGATCTGTTCCCCATCCCCTCTTTATTCCCTGTATATCCTCTGTGAAACACATATGAGAATAATCTACTTCTTGTGATCCCTGAAATAGACTATGATGAAAACATTAAGCCTGTCCACCATTTGGGGATTCTGTAGTACTCCTCAAAATTAGCTTATTCCATGAAAGTAAAATTTACTATAAGAAATACGTTTTTCTCCTAGGGCAATGTCGATTGAGTTACAGTATTTGGTTCATGTGGGGAAGGAGAAAGAGATGCTGGGAGTGCAGAGCTCTTCACAGCAGAGCACACCAGTCAGTACTGGGCACAATAAAAAGTCCTGAAGTAGAGTTGGGGTTCCTGCCCAAATGCAGATTAGTATTCATTAATTTTACACTTACTATGTGCAAATGTCATGTATCACAGTGGTATTTACGCATCATGTCCACCACAAACCAACACATTTTATTGCTGAGGATACAAGGCTAAAGCGCAACTTGGCTGACCTTCTGCTAGTTATGCAGAATTTATCCTCTAGGTCCACTGGAGGTTTTTCTGCTTTATGTATTCCTTGCTCTT